CCTCCAAGGACATTTTCACATGCAGAAACAGCACCGCCAAGATCCCCCTTTGGATCTTTGTGCAGAACTCTGAAACTGTGACTTTTTACCATTAGGAACCAGACCTCCAGGCGTGACTTGCTAAACCACGACTCCAGATCAAGCGGGCACACCTGCACCCATGGCTGCTAGCCTGTGTCCCCTGCGACCTCAAGCTCGGTGTACGAACCTGCACACAGAGGGGAGAGCTGTCCATGGGCCCCCTGGACTGTGTCAGGTTGGGTCCCTTGGAGTCCTGGGATTGCAAAGTTTTAACTGAAGAGGTTTCTGAATAAACCTCTTCATCCCACACAGTTTGCTGTGGCTTCTCTCCTCTTTCGTTGGACTTTGGCCTCAGCAGGAAGCCAGCTGATGGTCTTTGCCCTGTGTCCACCACACCGGGCAGGAAGCCTGACTGGTAAACCTCTCTCGTGTCTTTGTTGGTAGATTTTCCTAGAGTGCCACCCTCCATGTACACGAACACAGGGTCTCCATTTCTCCTAGGTCTGTGGGTCCGTCCCTTCCTGTAACGGGCTGTGACATTGCAGTCAGCTTTATACCTTCAGCGTGTGTGTGGGAAGGCATGCACAGACACCCACATGAACATAGCCCTCGGCATTTACGTGTCGTGGAAATCACTCCTCCCTGCCTTTGTAGCGGGGAAAATGGTTTTGCCTTCCTTTTCCAGCTTCTTGGGGAGAGCAGTAGATACGTGTGCATCTGTGAGAAAAAGAACGAGGACATATTGTTCTCCTCAACTCCCTGCGTCTGGTCTGGAGGCCAACAAGCCTAGAGATGGCTAGAGCTAACTGAGAATCCCTGTTTCCTAGGTTCAGCCAACATCTGTTCCCACTGTCCTTTCCTGCCAGCGCCTGGGGAACGCACGTCAAAGGCTCCTACTGAGCAGGGTGCACGGGTCCAGGCCATTTCAGGTGACGGTTTGCCCCCTGCAGGCCATAAACTGACCCTCATGAAGAAACTGTGGGGCTCTGAAAACCAGATGCCAGGGCACAGTTGGCTGAGTAGAAGTTTCTGGAAGGGAGGGCTGAGTAGGGTAGACATTGCTTGTGCTTGCCAATGTCTGCTTCTCCTTTCTTTGAGGGCAAACAGGAGGCAATGCTTACCCAGTTGCCCATGTTCCAGCTCAGGAAATGCAGGAAGCAAGGTTGGGTGCCACACCTGGACTGAAGCAGGGAAGAGCCTTTGAGGACTCCAGTCTATCTTACCTCACAATGGTCAGTATGGCGGCCCTGTGCTGAGAAGTGAAGCCTTAAGAATGGGTACCTCAGACTACTGTGTTGCTTCACACATGATGCCCTGAAGGATGGATGCTCGGAGAGTTATTCTATCCAGTGGCCAACGGGCGCGAGAGAGACATTCTGTTGTGAAATCACTAAGATCGTAAGGGCTGTTTGTTACTGAGGCAAAACTTAACCTACCCTGACTAAAACAATTAGACATTGACATTTTCAGGCCATCTCATGGCCATAGAATTGCTATTATAAGTATCCTTTTAGTTAAAACAATAAATCTGTTTGCCTTGAAGTGATTAAAGTTATTATTTTGGTTGCTACAAGCTAAAAATTGAACTAATGATTCCATATGTTTGAAGTAAGTCTAGACCCTAAGTCTTATTGTCCTATTCTGCTTTCAGATAAAATTTCTCAAAATTATTGCACCTGTGGGCGAGACAGTTTTACTGTCCTGTGGGTGAGACAAGTTTTACTGTCCTGTGTGCTAGGAAACTGGAAACCTGTTTATTTCCCTGTGTGCATCCTGGAGGACCTGACATGGGGTCCTGCAGGAAAAGCCTATTTGTTAGCGGAGAGTGATGGCAGGGAGTGGGCGGGGTGAGGGTGTGGGAGGGGAGAAGGTCCCCGGGGATTACAGTGACTGCAGATCTAAACTGTGGCTAATTATGGTGACGGTGCCTCTCCATCTCCTGCTGTTGCAGGGTCCATATGGAGTACACTGCGAGGAGGACTCAGCCGGGGTGGCCTCTGCCAGTACAATCAGGGGAAAAGGAGCACGTGGGTCCATGAGTATAGTGACGGGTCACAGTCTTGGCAACTACAGCAGAAAGGGTGTGGCCACAGAGAGCGTGGCTTCAGTGGGACGAGGAGCTCTGGACTGGGGAGGTCTCTCTATGTGCATATGGAAACTACAAAGAACTGGAACAGGACGGGTGATGGAGCCTGAGGATAAGCCAGTAGCTAAAGTCTTCAAGGAAGATGAGCAAGTAAGTAACAGAAATGCTGTGATCTGGAGGAAATTTAGAAGGAGCCATGACAGAAAATAAAACTGTGTGTGGGGACCCATCTTAGGGAGGTGATCAGGGAAATCATCTCTGAAGAGGGAACCAAATCACTGACAGATGGAGAAACATGCTGGATAGGGGGAAAGGGCAGGTGTAAAGGCCCTGAGGCAGGAAAGAATTGATTCCTGGCCCTACAGGAGGATTCTAGAAAGTTCTAGGAAATGATAACAAGTAAGAAAATAGTGGTAGGTGTTTGTTAGATGGAGGAAAAACAGAAGAGAACAGCACTTATTGTGGACCAGGAGTACCAGACGGATTCCTTTAACTTGTCGAATAAGCCCAGTGAGCACTGAGCCTCTTTGGGGGTGGCCAGGGAAGAAGGGTGCAGCGGCTTGTCCTTGGAAAGACCTCGAGCCACAGCCCTGACCACACATTCCCTGGAAACCTCCTCTGTGAGGCTACCTGCCCCTGAACTTGGGCACGCTCACAAGGGCACCCTTATCAAAGACGTCAAAGCACTCACTGTGGCCAGACGTGATGGTGATGGGCACAGTGTCCTTGTTGCTGTGGGCCCGAGGGACTGTTGGCAGTAGTCCAAGGTCATTCTCCAAATCCACTCGGCTCCTGCACCGTCCTAAAGGGTGGGTTAAGTGAGACCCCCGAGAAGACGGCCGCTCACGTTCCCCTCTTCCCAGTTTTCTCTTATCACACATGTGAGAAATGTCCAGCACTTCCAGGTTCGTCAAGCCGACACCCCTATTCTAAGTTTTAAGGATTCCATTTTTGTTCCAATGTCCTAATTAACAGGGGCCACTTGTGAGGACTCTGAATTCAATGTCACTGCTGTTTGGCAACCCACTGGATTAAATTTTGTGGTTGACTTTCAGCCACGTCAGTCCTGTGGGGACAAGAAACAGTTCTGAGGCCACCAGACAAGTGTCTGCTTCTCAGATGGACTTGAACAGAGAGGCCCTGGAACTGGCCTTCGCCCTCACCCTCTAAGTGCTCGCGGGCACTCAGAAGGCCCTTTGCTTTTGCTGATAGTCATCTTGATTGTCACAACAACTAGCACGGGTGAAGCCTTGACTGACTTTGATGCCACCATGTGCCCACACTACCAATGTGGCCGAGGAGCCCGGTGCTGAGTCAAGCTCAAGGACACAACCGGGTGAATTCCAAAACCCCAGGTCCTCCGTCTTCTGGGTCGACTCTTAGTGATGATTTCCTGTCAGTCTGGGTCCAATCATGAGGGATAACAGGCAGTGACTTTAACAGGGATTGTCTAACGCACAAAAGATACCGACTGCAGAGAGCAATTGAAATAACGGGACACTGGCTTGTAAAAAGTCAAGGGGATTTTAAAGAAAAAGAGACCAGGTAAAAGAAAGAGCACTACCTCTAGGACTGAGATAAAACACCAAGAAGGGCCCCCAAGCCCCAGAGCTGAGATGCCGGGCTCACTGGAGAGGGTCAGCCATGAGTTCCTGAACCTCAGAGGAGTCACTGTGGCCTTGTGTTGGCAGACAGTTCTTGAAGCCTACTCTCCAGAACTTGCTAGAAACCTACTTTCTAGGGTTGCTGGGAAAGCCATTTACGGGGAGGCATCTCACTAGAGCCACTCGGTCCTCAAAGCAGCCCAAGTGGTGCCAGGGGAGCCGCTGGTGGCTGGAGGTGGAGGCCTGAGCCTGCAGGAGGCTGTCCAGGGAGGACACTGGAGAGGGGCAGCGGCCTCCTCCCCTCCTGCCAGGGCTCTCTGGTTCTCTGCACTCACAGAGCTCCAGATGGGCCAGCCGCCAGAGGACAGGCTTTTAAAGGACCTAGGTCCACTGTTCTCAGAGGTCACAGGGAGCTAAGGGACACTGAGCGGATAACCTGCAGTAGATGGCGGCTCCCTTCTCCTACCTGCCCAAGAGGAAGCCCTTGGGATGACCTTCCCACCACTTTCTCGTCCCACGTCTGATGGGTCAGCAAATCCCACCAGCCCTACCTTCAGAATGAGTAGGGACAAGCTTGCCCTCTCCACAGCTGTGGCCTGGCCAGGTCCGGCCTCCTTCGTCCCTGGCTGGGGTTATTGCATGTCAGGTGGTTCGTCTCCCGAGCCTTTGTGTGTTGGAGGCTGGCTCCTCAGCGCACCAGTGTTGAGGTGGTGGGACCCTTAAGGGGGGGGGGGGGCGAATGGGAGGTCCTTTGTACCTGGAAGGGATCCAGGTAGCTCTGGTGGCCCCCTAGGTGAGTTCTCAGAGAGGCACGTTATTAAAGAATAATCCCAGCCACTCTGCAACCTCATTGGCTTCCCATCTGGCAAATGATCTCTCCCTCTTGCATGTGCTTCTGCCATCGTGACACCAACTGCCATGAAGTCCTCACCAGAGCCACACTGATGCCAGCACCCTGCCTTTGAATCTCCAGAACTGAGCTAAATACGCCTTTTTAAAAAATAAAGCTACCCAGCCTCAGGCATTTTATTTTGGTAATAAAATACAGACTGACGCATTGCCACAGCATCCTTATTCATACTTCTGTCTGGGACCCCCTGAAGTCCCTACTCGACACAGTCATCAGATCATGCTACTGTTCTTCGAGAAACATCTTCAGTAATTTGGAGTCAACGATGAAGTTTTTACAAAGACTAACTTGCTAACTGCAGGTTAGTGCTGAGTCCAATTTTAATCAACCAAACTACTGTTGTAGGGACACACGAGGCAAGGCACCGAAGACAGCAGGAAACAATTTTATTTGGCTGCAGCCAGGTTCAGAGGGCACAGCTTTTGCTGTAATCAATCAATCCCCCGAATCCCGAGTTCAGGGAGTTTCAGAGTTTTATACCCAGCATGTAAGGGGGGGGGGGCTCAGAAGTTCACAGTCTGCAGAAGTTCACATAAAAGCAGCTTTTTCTCTCACTGTTCTGGGTAAGGTAACCCTTCAAGGACAACACCTGAGAAGGGGGGAGCTTCTTCTCCCCTTCCTTTCCTCCCCCTGCCAGCTGTTACCATGGGCCCATTTGTAACTTATCTTAAAAATAGAGACATCTCTGTGAAGCCCAGCTCAAGGCCAGAGGCCTTGTTTGCACATTTCTACAAACTACTATACTGGATACGTTTGTGAAAAACTAGTAAGGGGGTGTCCAGCACCTGGAGTGCTGGTATCTTCTCGGCCAGTGGCCAAGAAAACAGGGCAACACGAAAATAGGAAGTTTATCTACTTTGGACTCTTTTGCAGAGACTCTTCTGCTGACAGTCTTAAAATCAGCCATGGTGAAGAGGGCTTTTCTGTGGAGAAAGGGGTGCCACTTCAGTAGGGAGCAGGGACAGCCAACTGCAGCTGCTCCCCAGTTTCTTGTTCTTCTCTGACCTCATCCTGCATGACCCCTGCAGCCCATCCCACTCCTCTCCAGCTGTCCTGGCTTCTATTGTTTTCCTGAAATATGCCCCAGGGTCTTTGCACTGGTTCTCTCAGTCTAGAGTTCTGTTCCCTTTAAGACCATTTGATTACCTTTCTTGTATCCTTCAGGGCTTCCTCAAACATCTTAGCAGTAAGAGCTCCTCTGGCCACTCTTTCTTAAAATGTAAGCCCCTGCCCTTGATGTTCCACGGTCCCCTTCCCAGTTCTTTGTTCCTCTCCTTAGCACTCTTCCCCACCTAGCCTGCTAGAATGCCACTTTCTGACCTTTTTTACAGTCTCTCACCACAAGAGCAGGCTGAAGTGTGTCTCGAGTATCACCGAAGCCTCAATGCAGGTTGTTTGTGACACAGAAACACTAACAGCAAGGTCTTTGCCTGAGGAAGCCCCAGGGCCTGGAATCGGGAGCCCAGTGTCTCCACTCAGCCCTCGGCTAGTTCCAAGGGTCACAAGGCTTTGCCATGTGGTGGCCTCAGATCAGACGTGGCCGTGGCCTCTGTGGTACTCTCCCTCTTTGCCTGTAAGGAAGAGATTCAGGGAACAGAAAGCAAAATGCTGCAGGAAACGGCTGAATTTCAGCAAGTCAAAGAGGACACCGGGTGCTCTCCCAAGTTCTGCCTTTTTCGGAAGGGACCTCTGTCCCAGTCCCGCCCTTTTGCCATGGGCCCCAGGATTCCTGCCCCTCCCACGGTGATGCCTGTTCTCTTGTCAGAATCTGTTTTAACCAGCCTGTTATGACCAGAACAATTTTAGAGGAGGGAAAGTTCATTTGGGGGCTCACAGTCGCAGAGGTCTCTGTCCATGGACAGCTGGCTCCGTTCCTCGGGATCCAGGTGAGGCTGGACATCACGGGGGAAGAGTGGGGTGGAGGGAAGCAGAGAGAGACTCCACTCTCCAGATACAAAATGTAGACCCCAAAGCCACGCCCCAGTTCCCACCTCCTCCAGCCACACCCCCCCTCCAGGCACCACTCATTAATCCCATCAGGGACGGATCCACGGATACGGTTAAGGCTGTGGCCCCCGTCGTTTCTCCTCCAAGCCTTCTTGCACTGAGTCACTCAGGAGCTTTTGGGGGACACCTCACACCCAAACCACAACAAAATCTGTGTGATGGGTCACCTGCTGCCAAGACCCCTCCCCTAGTCCTGCTTCCCTCCGGTGGTAGAGTGTCCGACATTGGTGACAAGCCAGGGGCCATTGTGAGCAATATTTCTCACCCCAGGTCTTCTTAATTCCCATCAGAAAATGGTGAGTGGTAACTTTATGTTCACTCCTCTTAACTGTGTGAGTGTGTGTGTGAGTGTGTGTGTGTGTGAGTGTATGTGTGTGCACGTGCACATGGTGGGGGATCCAGAGCCCCTAAGAGGAGCCCAGTGGACAACACGGCTCCTGTATCTGTGGACAGGAGGGCTCAGGAGCCATCCATGTCAGCGGGGGCGTTTCTGCCCCTGGAGGGCTGGCCCAGTGTCCCAGGAGCAGCTGCCTTTGTAAGACCAGGGCCGCCCTCGGGGAAGAAGCAGCTTCTGCCTGGCTTGCCCCCGGGTTCTTGGTTTCTTCTACTTCTCATCTTGTAATTAATGTCACTTTTAGGAACTTTTTAAAATCTAGATTTTTTCCTAGCACAGGTGATTCTAACAAACTGGCCATGACCGGAAACAGTGATTTGTTTCTTTCCTTTTTCACCTCAGGACTTGGAGCCTCTGCTTTGGACAGTCGTCCAGGCAGCCCTGCTCAGTTGTCACCCACTGGGAGGAGCATTTGCTCACCAGCTGCTCTCCAGGCTGCTTTCCCCCAGGGGCGACCTGGGGCTGGGAATGTGAGCGCAGAGGCGCTGAGCTGGTTGCTGCTGTCATTTTGGGGTATCCCAACCATCTTACTCCCACCATCTAGGTGGGTCCCCTGTCACCTCCAGTCGCAGACTGGAAAGCCCCTGACCTAAAGAACATCTGTTGGCACCCCTGGCACAAGAGCCACACCTGGTCCTTCCCCACAAGAGGAGGCCAGGCCTGCAGCCCACCATCAGCCCCAAAGACCTCCACTGTCCACAGAGTCTGGACACAGATGAGTCTGACCCGAATGCTTCTCTGTCCTCCGAGCCTTCTAAGTCCTCTGACATCAGGGACATTTCAGCAGCCCAAGTCCCTTGGATGAGCTTTGTTCCCCTCTTCTGGGCAGAATGTCCAGCACTGGGCCTGGAAAAAAGAGAACGTTCAGAAGAGTCTCTTTGGATTCTCATCAATCCACCCTCAAACTGTTGCAATGTGGAGGAAAGACGGATGTCAGAGAGCCAGGAAGACACTGGCTGAATCCAGACTGTGTCATTTATTATTTATGGATTTTCCTTTCCCCATCTTTCTCGGTTCCCTTGCTATAATGAGAACAGTGGCTTGATCATTTCTAGCAGGACTGACACCTACTTTCCCTGTCAGGTAAGGAGAAATGGCAAATACATGATTTAATTTTCTCCCAAACCACACTGAGGTCCCTTCCATGTGGCCCGCTAGTCATGGAGGTGACAGAGGACCCAACCCTAGTCAGTGCTTTGTCCAAAGGAGAAGCAGGCGTGGCATTCACCCGTCAGAACGTCCTCCGGGTGTGGCTGGGCGCTGTAAGCTGGTCTTTGAGGGCAGCTCCTGACCTCTCACAGCGGCCAGGAGGAGATCTGAGCTTTCTTTTTGCAGACTCAGGTAGGCCACGGGGTCGGCCTGTTCTGCTAAGGCTGTGCTGCTTCTGAGTTCCATGCGTGTTCCTTGCCATCTAGGTAAAACGGGAAAATAGGAAACATTCCGGAGGAGAGACAGAAACTGTGCCAGGAACAGGGAGGATGTGCGGGACAAGTGGTCACGCAGAATTACCAGGCGGCAGAGTCCAAGAGTGCGCGGATAGACAGAGCCAGCCAAGGGTCCCCAAGGGGATCTCAGCAGCATGCCCTCCATCCTTCATCTCATGGTGGACAGCAGCTCTGGGCAGCCCCACCGGCTTACGAGGGGGAGAGTAGAGGAGGCCACTAAATCAGGAGGTAACTGTGAACAAGAGCAGAGCGAAAAGAAAAGGACGTGTGTGACAGTTGGTGTCTGTGAGCCAGCCCCCCTGCCATGGTGATAAGCTCACTGCCGGCAGTGACTCCCCTCCAAGGGTTCCCAGGTTCCAAACAAATGTGCAGAGACACATGTTTCCTTCTTCACTAGGAATGTGGAGTGCCCAGCAATTGTGCCCAGTGACCTCGTCAGCTGTGGATTGTTCTAGCTCAAAACAGACAGCACCATGCAGCAGAGGACTAGCCCTGGGGCCTGTGGGCACATGATGGCTTTTGGACCCTCTCGTGGAATTTCTCCAAGCTCCGGGGAGGAGTAGTTTTATATTCCCTGGGGGCTGGAGCAGATAGGTTCCTTTGAAGCAGTGGGTTCTTTTGAAAACTTGACAAAGTTTCACCTTTTGCTCGATGGTAAATCTGTTTGTTTTGACATGAAAACAATGTTTTTAATGAGTTACTATTGAATAAACTGAAACTCTGGTTATGTCAAGGTTGGGGTAGGTTCTGGCATACATTGTGGGCCACAGGCCAAGCGTGTTGATCTTCTGTCTGGGTACAAACTCTGTCTCTTTCTAGGGAGACTTTGGTTACTTCCACAGAGAGTTAATAGGATAAGAGGGATGTCTTAGTTCAGGCTAATATTGTCTCCACACTCCAGATTCACAGGTTGATACCTAATCCCCAATTGGGGGAGGCCACACCATGTGACCAGCATTTTCCTTTCCTGATTGGTCGAGGCTCTGTTGGTCACTTCCCATGATCTGGCCACATCAAAGTGGCCCTAGATGGCTGCCCCGATGTTGGAAGTCCCATAATGTCACAAAATGTGTCTTCATGTGTAGGCGTGCCTTCCTGCATCCCCATGGGTGGAGCTACGCTCACCTGTCCCTTTGTGATATTACCCCCTTGCCCTGTTTGGGATGGAATGTTCCATGAAAAGGCCCTTTGTGTGTCCCCTTCTCTTGCTCTGCCCTTGGGCGTGGCCTTCCTAGATGTCAGTCAACATGCTGACAGCAGACATCAGGAAGCTAGACTCAGTCCCTTGAAACCTGACCCCTTGACTCATTTGAACGGCTTCTTCTCAATAAAAGGGGTCGTTCGCGCTCTCTCTCTCTTTCTGCGGACCCTTAAGGTCCTAAAAAGAGGTGCCAGTTGGCTTCTTCACCTTTTCCAGCAACAGAGGACACGTGCTGGAGCAGACACCAAATCAGCCTTGACCTTCCCAGTTTTTAGGGCCGTGAGCCACACATTTCTATTGTTTACAAATTACCCTGTCTAGGTTATTTTGTTATAGCAGCTGGACCAGATGGAGACAGACTGCTTTAACAAGTCACCGTAGATGGGTGGCTTAACCAGCAAACACTCATGGCTACAGTTCTGGAGGACTGACCCCCAGGATCAAGGTGCCTGCAGACCCGAGGTCCTGCTTCCTGGTTGGCAGGGGGCTGTCTTCTCAGGTGTTGAGGACAGAGGCAGGGAGCCAGCTCTTGCATCTTCTCTTCCAAGGACACTAGTCCTATTTGCGAGGCTCCACCCTCATGACCTTGTCCCCACGCATGGCCCCTCCTCCTAACACCGGTGCATGAGGGGATGGAACTTCAACATGTGCATTGGTGGTGGCGGAGGGTTACAGTCTACGACAGGGAGGAAGACCTTCCTGGGTGGCTAGACTTGAAGAATATTTCTGAGTGAGAGTCTTGATGGTGAAGTGCTGCCTTCCATTAAAAGCACAAGGGCCACAACATATTCCAGTCCTGAGCCCTGACCGCCAGCCAGTCGCCCACAGCCTTCCTCGGCCACCCTGGCACACTCTATCCCCAGCTCTCCTGTCTCCCTCTTGGTCTCAGTTACCCACACCTTTCCCTCATCGCCATAGCAACAGCTGCCGGAGCTGGGGTCCAACAGCAAAGGTTGCCTCTGTGCAGAGCCTGCAGGGACTCTGGGGGGAGGGGAAGAAGGATGGGACTGGGAAAGTCAACACAATGGGTCAGACGTCACTTTCCCGTGTCATATCTGAGTACACGACCAGTGTGACTCCACGTCACGTTCAACCACAAGAGTGGGAAGTTACACTCCATGTATGTAGGATATGTGGAAATGCATTCCACCGTCACCAATAACTAAAAAGACCGAATAAATAAAGAATTAAAACAGTCCCAAGAATAAGGTCACAAAGCTCTTTAGTCCGGGGAACATGAGGCCTGAGTCTGCAGTCCCCTGGGTTATCCTGACCTCCACGACAGGACTCTGCCGACTCCCTGACCCCATGAGGATAATGAGCAGCTCTGCTCCTAGCTGTCCCCTTTCTTTGCCTGGAACCGCCGACTCGCTGTGACTCCTTCTTGTTCTTTCTATACAGCCAGAAGCTGCTGATGTCATTCTGGAGCACTTGGGTGGGCAATGGGGACACGGTTCTCCTGTGGCCATCCTCACTTTAGCTCCGTACCTTGCTCTGACCTCGGTGTGTCTCCACCTGACTTTCAGGTGAACGATGGTGAGTTGAGCTGTCTGACGTCAGGGGCCATCTGTACTTGGTGATCTTGCCAAGTTACAAACTTCTCTGTGCCCCAGGACTCTTGTCGCTGTGAGATAATGTATTACTTCTGAGTTGATGTGAAGATGGGCTGGGAGGTCGAGCCGAGCAGACATCCAGCAGGGAGGGCCTGGGAAACGGCAAAGCCCCTCCGCCTGGGTAGCTGTTGGGGCCACTGCAACCTCTTTGCCTCCCACCCAAGCCTCCTCCAGCCTCTCTCAAAGATGCATACCGCCCACAAACCACCATCTCAAATCTTCACAGTTAAATTTCCTTGAAAGTATGGAGTCTAAGACTCTCACCACAACAGCACAAACGGTGTAAAGGTAACTGCCCCACCCACAAGGCTGGATCCCCCATTTTCCACGTGGCCAGGCAGCCGCTGATCTGCTCTGGGTCCCCTTGGCTTCCAGGTTTTTTTCAAATATAACGGCACAGATGGTCTCCTTGCGTTTGGTTGGTTTCTTCCCCTCGGCACCTGGGTTTCTTCTTTAGTGAAATGTCTGTTCGCATTTTTGCCCATATTTCGAATTGAGGAGTTTGTTTCCTATTGTCCGGGGCCGAGGGTTCCTCATAAGCTCCGCCGTCTCTTTCAGATCAGCAAACACTGGCCTGGTGACGGCGGCCCAGCTTGTCTTCCTGGGTTTTCATCCTTTCCTGGATCCTGGCTCAGTGAATCTCATTATCCTGCCGGGTTTCCACTGCTGTAAGGAAGACAGTTGAAGAGTATGGAATTCAGCTATTTTCACTGTCTTTGGTGGAGAGTGAGTTCAAATTACTTGTTCTAACGTTATCAGGAAAAGAAGTCGGGTGGTTATTTTTTTTCCCTTAATTTGTTTGCTTTTGTTTTGGTTTGTTTTTGTTTTCCTTATTCAGTTATCTTTAGCCAAACAGTTAAGGCTGGTTTTTCCTGAAAGGTGAGGTTGTAGGGGAAACGAAACTTCTCTTTATGATTTTGCCTATATACCCCTGTGTATCACTCTTACAGTTCAAAAAAAGTACAGCTGAAAAATACAAAGACACACATACATGGAAGTTACACTCCATGTATGTAGGATATGTGGAAATGCATTCCACCGTTACCAATAACTAAAAAGACCGAATAAATAAAGAATTAAAACAGTCCCAAGAATAAGGTCACAAAGCTCTTTAGTCCGGGGAACATGAGGCCTGAGTCTGCAGTCCCCTGGGTTATTTCACGGAGGAGCACGGTGTTGGGCACACGGCATTTCTGTGACCTTCTCCTTGGCTGGTTTCCTCTTAGGTTTGTTGCCCTGTCACCACCAGGATGACTCTGCCATTCCGTGTCTTGCTTCCTGGGGCTGCAAACCCTCATCTGTCATAAGAGGCCCACACCCACTCTCCTTTCTCACTGTGCAGCCCCAGATTTAGGTGTGGCTCAGGTCTGGTCCTTACCAGGATGGGAAGGAATCTGTCCATCCCTGGGAAGAGCAGAAGTTACAGGAAACTGAGACACGTGGGGGTGCCCCGGCTACTCACCGTGGACCAACCCCACAACTGTGGGGCAGCTAGGAGTCAGGTGGGTTCAGTCACATGCCAGATCTTGGCCCATTCTCCTGGAGTGGGATCTACCAAATGCCACATCTGTCATCTCCCTGTAAGCATGACCGTGGCAGAACCTGAGACACTGGAGAGTCCTTGCTCCTGAGAGTCTCAGAGAAACCAGCTCCTAAGCACCAACCCTTTCACTGTCTGTGGAAGGTGTGCGGGAGATGCCCCCAGCTTTCCCGTGGGCCGCCCTCCCTCCTGCATCTCCCTGAGGCCTCCTTCGCGCATCCTCCAGGATCCCGATTTTCTGCTCCCCTTTCCATTCAGTTTCGAGTTTCGTCCTGTTTGACATTTGTTTTTACATTGAAAAAAACAACTTGAAGCTAAGTGTGGAAGCCAGAGAGAAAGCCTAAATCATGACAAGGGGACAAAAGTGCTTCTGTGACATCCTCTGCCAAAGCAGGGACCCATTCTGGGTGCATTTCATAGGGGATGTGGCAACCTCCAGGGAATGCCCTTACCCAAGCACAGCAGGCACCTACTTTCATGTACCTAACATTTATTCAGCACCTGCTGTATGCCAGGAACGTTGTACGGCATTAGCACGTTAGCTGCAATATTCCCTCCCTAGGGGAGCTCTGTGTGGTGGGTGGAGTGGAGGGAAAGCCCAGGGCATAATGATTTGCAGATTTGTGTGTGTGCATGTGTGTGTGTGCATGTGTGTGTGTTGATCTAGGTTTTTATTCATTTATTTTTTATTAACAATTGAGTTTCTTCATTATTTTGACTTCTTTAAAAAATTGATCTATGATTATGTTTCTTATGCCAGTTAACCATTTATAGTCTTTCCCCTACAGATTCACACTTAAATACACGCTCTGAGGTCACGGAAGGGATCTCTTTCAACATTTCTCCTTTACACTGAGCGTGATGCCAAGCTTTCTCAACAGGGGGCGCTGGGGAGGCATTGAGGGGCATTGGAATAGGGCTGTGTCTGTGAGAGGACACCTGCTGGTGCCATCCCGAGCACACCAAGGCCCAGCGCAGCTACCTGGACATCACAACTTCCTCAACATTGACTCCATGAGCTTCAGACTTCCTGTCCTTGGCACTTGTGTCCCATGTCCCTCCATTTGCTGTCCCATTCTAAGTTTTGCCTCCCATGACCCTTCTGATGCCATGGCTCTCCCATATGGTCACCACACGTCCTCCTCCAGAGTCCTCCTCTCTCTGGATGTTTTCCTAGGAAACCCGGCAAACCTCTCTGACATCCAATGTGCGGCAGCAGCACCTTCTCCAGTGAAGCCCGACGTCTGGGAAGGAGACCCTCCCTCCCAAGTTTATCTTCCTCTGTCTGCCCTGGTGCCCTGCAGAGTTCTGTGGTCACTCTTGCATCAGAACTTAATCTCTTCATGTGAAACTTGCCCTGTTTAAGTCACACTGTGGCT